TTAAGATGAGAGGGGAAAGATTTAATAGGGACCTAAGGGGCAACTTTTTCACATAGAGGGTGGTGCATGTATGGAATGAGCTTCCAGAGGAAGTGGTGGAGGCTGATACAATTACAATTTTAAAAGGCATCTGGATGGATATATGAATAGGAAGGGTTTCGAGGGATATGTGCCAGATGCTGGCACATGGGCCTACATTTATTTAGGATGTCTCATCGGCATGGATGAGTTGGACCTTGCTGTACAGCTCTATGACTACCTCTGAGAAGTTGAGGCCATAGTTCCATTTCGTCAGTTATAGCTTGCTAACCCAAAAAAGAGCCATTCACCTCTACACCACCCAAGCCCTCCACCTCCTCGAGAACTTCCAATTCCCCGGTCTCCAACACCTCATCTTTACTATGGACGTCCAGTCCCTATACACCTGCATTCCCCATACAGATGGCCTAAAGGCCTCCGCTTCTTCCTGTCCCGCAGGCCCAACCAGTCCCCCTCCACTGACACCCTCATCCACTTAGCCGAACTCGTCCTCACCCTCAACAACTTCTCTTTCAATTCCTCCCACTTCCTACAGACAAAGGGGGTGGCCATGGGTACCTGCATGGGCCCAAGCTATGCCTGCCTCTTTGTAGGTTACGTGGAACAATCCGTCTTCCGTACCTACACTGGCCCTAAACCCCACCTCTTCCTCCGTTACATTGATGACTGTATTGGCGCCACCTCGTGCTCCCACGAGGAGCTCAAACAGTTCATCCACTTCATCAACACCTTCCACCCCAACCTTAAGTTCACCTGGACTATCTCTAATACCTCTCTCTCCTTCCTGGACCTCTCTGTTTCCATCTCGGGCAACCACCTAGAAACCGATATCCATTTCAAGCCCACTGATTCCCACAGCTACCTAGAATACACCTCCTCCCACCCACCTTCCTGCAAAAATGCCATCCCCTATTCCCAATTCCTTCGCCTCCGCCGCATCTGCTCCCAGGATGAGGCATTCCACTCCCATACATCTCGGATGTCCTCGTTTTTCAAGGACCGCAATGTCCCCCCCTCAGTGGTCGAGAGCGCCCTCCACCGTGTCTCCCACATTTCCCGCAACTCATCCCTCACACCCCCTCCCCGCAATAACAACCAAAACAGAATCCCCCTCGTCCTCACATACCACCCCACCAACCTCCGGATCCAACGCACCATCCTCCAACACTTCCGCCATCTGCAATCCGACCCCACCACCAAAGACATTTTTCCCTTCCCACCCTTATCTGCTTTCCGGTGGGACCACTCTCTCCGTGACTCCCTTGTCTGCTCCACTTTCCCCTCCAGCCCCACCACACCCGGCACTTTTTCCTGCAACCGCAGGAAGTGCTACACCTGCCCCTACACCTCCCCCCTCACCCCCATCCCAGGCCCCTAGAAGACTTTCCACATCAAGCAGATGTTCACCTGCACATCTGCTAATGTGGTATACTGCATCCGCTGTTCCCGTTGTGGCCTCCTCTACATCGGGGAAACCAAGCGGAGGCTTGGGGACCGCTTTGCAGAACACCTACGCTCAGTTTGCACTAAACAACTGCACCTCCCAGTCGCGAACCATTTCAACTCCCCCTCCCATTCCTCAGATGACATGTCCATCCTGGGCGTCCTGCAGTGCCACAACGATGCCACCCGAAGGTTGCAGGAACAGCAACTTATATTCCGCTTGGGAACCCTGCAGCCCAATGGTATCAATGTGGACTTCAAAATCTTCGCTCCCCCTACCGCATCCCAAAAGCAGCCCAGCTCGTCCCCACCTCCCTAACCTGTCCTTCCTCCCACCTATCCCCTCCTCCCACCTCAAGCCCCACCCCCATCTCCTACCTATTAACCTCATCCCGCCCCCTTGACCTGTTCGTCCTCCCTGGACTGACCTAACTCCCCACCTACACTCACCTTTATTGGCTCCATCCCCGCCCCTTTGACCTGTCTGTCTCCTCTCCACCTATCTTCTCCTCTATCCATCTTCTATCCGCCTCCCCCTCTCTCCCTATTTATTTCAGAACCCCCTTCCCCTCCCCCATTTCTGAAGAAGGGTCTAGGCCCGAAACGTCAGCCTTCCTGCTCCTCTGATGCTGCTTGGCCTGCTGTGTTCATCCAGCTCTACACCTTGTTATCTCACATTCACCTCTACTGTATGCTTCCTGTTAACTAACCAAACCTTAAACCATTCTACAAATTTCTGGTTTCCAGCATCCGCAGTTCTTTCGGTTTTTGCTTAAGCCGTGCTACTTTGTTACCTCTGCAGCTTGAACCCTTATGTAATCTTTGAGCATATCAAATTCCTTTCAATAATCCATGTACGTTGCATCGGCAGGTTCCCCTTTATCCACCTTCATCCATGTTACCTTCTCAAATTTTTAATAGCTTAGTTAAATATGACTTTTCCTTTACATGTCGACTGCCTAATCACATTATGATTGTCTAACTATTCTGCTGCAACTTCCTTAATAAGAAATTCTAACAATTTCCCTAAGATAGATGTTAAGCTAAATCATTTGTCTAATTAAGCATGACACAGGAAGTGGAAATGATGTTCTCATAACATTGTTGCTGCCTAGTCTCTGGGCTTTAGAGTGAATTGCTGAAGTGCCTCCTGAAGGTTGTACATGCTGCAGCCAGGTGATGAAAGAGGCAGATATCAACATGTCAACAGAAACAGGACCATCGCTCAAACTAACTGCTGCATCCAGAAAGATGATTGGCGTTGTGATCTGCAGATTTTTTTGTCATTAATATGTTGTTGGGGCTACTGGATAGGCCAGAATTGATTGTGAATCCCTAACTGTCCTTGAAAAGGTGGTAGTGAGCTGCAGCCTTGAACCACTGCAGTCCTTGGGTTTAAGGCAGCCTCAATACTATTAGGAAGGAAGTACAGGAACGGACGTGTTGTTTCAACTCCAGATTCTGCGTGGCTTGAAGGGGAATGTGCATTGTTACTCCCATTTAGGTGAATGGCAAATATTCCATCACGCATCTAATCTGTATCTTGTAGCTGGCAGAGAGGCTTTTAAGGGAGGGTTGACTGATAACCCTCTGATCCTAGCTAACATTTGGGATTCTGCAGTATTGGTGTCATTGAAAGGCAATGGTTAATCGTTGGGCTTTCTGTTATTTCCAGTGGTGCTAACCTTCATCTGTGTGGTGCACCTACCACTTACCACCCAGATCAGGACATTCAGGTCCTATTGTTGGTTGACTAAAGTACAAAGTTTTGGGAGTAGATACAAGATGTTGGACTGCAGAGTTCACAATGTAGAGAGAAGTATTAAAAGCCCCTTCATGTTTTTTAAAACAAATGAACAACAATTTTTTGTTTGCATGAGCTCCCCCAACTCTAGAGTTCATGCAATACTTCAGTCAGAGTCACTGTCAGATCTCCACAGTTGAAAACATTTGCCTCAAGTTGTGACTTCTCCCAATTTTGTAGTGAGTCCAGTTGGGTTCATGTTGCAGGGAAAGCACAACAATAATATGTTATAGTACACAACAGCAGTGTGGTGGGATGCAGGTTGATTCTCTTTATTTCCAGTCAACAACCTTCAACTTTAGCCTTTGACTGCAAGTTAGGTAAAGATTGTGCTGAACAGAAATTAACTTTTTTTTGAAAGGAGAATGTTGATAATAGGAAAGAGAAACCCACAGCAATGTCATTGCTGTCCCTCCTGTCTCATATCAACTATGGAACTGTAGAAGGCTTGATGCAATATATCCAGCCACACACTTGGTTATTTAAAAAACAGATAAGGTATGAAAGAGGGTAGAAGAATTTGCAAGCCCTTTGTGTCCTTGTTCATGATGTCTCTTCTCCAATTCAATGGTATTATGACTGCACTATACATGCTAGATGTTAAAGTACAGTAGGTGCGAAGAACCATCTTTACTTAACTTGGTTAACCAGTCAGCCAGTGACTTTCAGTGAGTGTGTAAAAGATCCTCTCTGTAGCAGTCATTAGAAATAAAGTTTCAAATTGCAACAGTGCCAATTCATTTATTCTCAGTTCTAGCACTGCTAAAAGTATAGACAGACTAGTGTCCAATACATCTTGAAGCTGTTCATCTATACAAATCTGGTATAGGCAACCATTTCCGTAGGCAAAACCCAAATATATCACTATCAGTCTTTTGTTAAGCTGTGCCTTGTTGTCAAGAGCTCTCTGTAAAGTATGGTCAGCGAACCGAGCCTATCATTGCTTGTCAAAATGAATGATTCCGTGATGCATTTGCCAATAATCAAATTTACCACCCTGCTTGCAAATAAAATAGGAAATTTAAAAGTAAAATGATGCAGTTTCAATATAGTATATGGAGTGTTACTGAAAAACACTGCTGAGATTGATGACTCAGGAGTGGGATGACTGATGAATACCCACAGCCTTATTTCCTATGAAACAGAAGAACTTGTATTTATCTGCCTTTTTTGTCCTCGGTTTGTTGCAGAATGCTTGTAAGGCAATAATTTTTGATGTGCTCACTGTTATTACATGGCAATTATGGCAGTTAAAAGTTTGACTCAGTGCCACACTGCAGTTTCATGTGAAATACAGTCATGAGATCCTAGCATGGGTCTTGAACCATCAAATTTGACACCAGAGTGAGTGTGTTTTAATTGAATAAAAGTACTTTTTTTACATGTTAGTTAGCAGAATTTGGCAAAATCATTGGGTAATTGAAGGAAAAAAAACAGAATTTTATGCAAAATGGGGTATATATTACTTCAGGTGCAGAGCACTGTGATGTAATCACATACTGGTCACTGAGGTGTATAGAAGAGAGTGTAAAGCAGTCTGCAGCTTGTGTTATACAAAGCTCTATGCAGACTGAATCAGGTTGTAAAGTCTACTCTCGGGGATCACTTTTCAGGGATCAATTGGTGAAATCTACAGAGGCTCGTACCAGAAAATTTTAATAAAACTGACTAACGTGGCTATTTTGTAAATCTGTCTGTTTTCTGTGTTTTACAGGTTCAGTGGTCAGAGCCATGGCTGATTGGACTGCTAGCTTTTCATGCCTTTTGCTTTCTACTTACCTTGATAACAATTAAATTCTACAAATTTCAGATTGCCCATTTCCTTTTTATGAGTAAGTCACTTTTGTATTTTTATTAGTGTGCAAACGCCAATATTGAATACTCAATGCATTTTCAATCAGCTGGGGGCCTTTTACAACTTCAACTTATGTTTGTTGTATATGGTTCTGGGTATACTTTTCAATGTATTTTTAAAGTGTCCAAAAGCTACTTTGAAGAATTGATTGTCCTCACTTGTCGTTACTGTCTATTATTGGGCAGGGTCTTCTCTTCTCACTGGTAGCAATCGCTGAGGCAGCAAGGGCAGTTAATTAGGTGGGATTGTAGCATACCTAAACCCAGACTCCTTCCTACTTCCACTGGAATTTAGTTCTGGATGCAATGGCCCATGTTTGAACTAGCCACCCCGCTGCCGTTTAAGATTCTAAAGTAAGCAATTAGGGATCACTGGAATACTTAATCCCTTCACCATTGTCACAACCGAGGGGTATTGTGGCACAACGATAGTGTCCTTACCTCTGGGCCAGAAAGGTTTTTGTTCTAGTCTAACCTGTTCTGAAGGAATACCATAACCGGTCTAAACAGGTTAATTAAATATATGTTTAAAATAATTTCAACCCAGCTTCAGGCATGCTTGTCACCATGCAGTGTTCATGCCAGGTGAAGCAGTGAAGGCAGCTTGTTACCTGAGATCAGTGCGTAATTGAGACCCTGGAAGAGGAACCTCACTAACAGCCATGCCATATCCCTTTTTTCTCTGCGATCTCCCACCCACAAATAACTCATGACATTATTTAGCTGTGAGTTAGGTCCATCACAATCTTGGAACTGTGGAGGAGGAGCTGGGTATGCCCTTCCAACAGCAGTGAAGGCCTCTTCAGTAGTGCCATGGAGTGCAAATATTGACAGTTTCCGATTAACTAGCATCTCTTGTTAGGTGAAGCTTCCACCCCTAGCTCTTGACTCCTGAGGAAGGTCCACCGATGGCCTCATGTCTGCCCGGCTGGTGAGTGATTCAGTGGCTTTCTGAGAAAATCGCCATAGTCTTTCACTGACTCTCCAACGAGCCAGCAAAACTCTCGTGCCACAACAAAATTCTACGTATTAAAACCACAAGACCTAGGAGGCCAGTTCTTTTTTTTTTTTCCAAACTGCTACTGTCAATATATTTTGAAATATTTAGTCTCTATTTTTAAATTACCTGGCAGAAAAGCAAATCACTTTCATACTGTATGGGAGGGGTGCCTAATTTGAGAATCTTTCTTAATGACTGGAGACTGTTGTTGTGCTAGTTTATTTTAAATATTCTGCCCCATCATTGCTTTTTCTGAATTGGTTCATGGTTTACTGACCATTCCATCTGTCAGAGGGTTTCTGAACAGCCCTAATGCCTCTAATTTTTTTGTTGTAAATACATTGCAGAGCACCTGGCATCATATTGCTCCGTGCCTTGCTGACCATCGCTGGAAAAGTGTGACCATAGATTTTGTTGAAGTGATGCTTGTTTAATGTGCATTAAAATTCTTAAAAGACCTATTATTCATTGAAAGCATTAGGCCACCAAAATATTGCAAAAATTTGCTGATTTTATTCAAGTATTGTATGTATGTTGTATGACAGTGTAAATGTTAACAGCAAGAGAAAGCTTAACCATTCGGGAATGTTGCTCCATTTTCAATAACATAAATTTTGTTACTTTTTGAGCTTGTGGTACACATAGAGTTGTAGAATCATACAGTATGGAAACAGACCCTTCGGTCCAATCGGTCCGTTCCGGCCATGTTCCCGAACTAAACTAGTCCCATTTGCCTGCATTTGGCCCATATCCCTCCAAACCTTTCCTATTCATGCACCTATCCAAATGTCTTTTAAATGTTGTAACTGTACCTGCATTCACTACTTTCGCTGGCAGTTCATTCCACACACACACCTCTGTAATAAAAAGTTGCCCCTAATGTCCTTTTTAAAACTTTCTCCTCTCACCTTAAAACTATGCCCCCTAGTTTCAAACTCTCCTGCCCTAGGAAAAAGACCCTTGCTATTCATCTTATCCATGCTCCTTATGATTTTATACATCCCCATAAGGTCGCCCCTCAACCTCCTATGTTTCAGAGAAAAAAAAAGTCCCAGCATATCCAGAGATAGTAGGAACTGCAGATGCTGGAGAATCTGAGATAACAGGGTGGAGAGCTGGATGAGCACAGCAGGCCGAGCAGCATCAGAGGAGCAGGAAAGCTGACATTTCAGGTCTAGACCCTTCAGTAGGAATTGCAGATGCTGGATATGCTGGGATAACAAGGTGTAGAGCTGGATGA